GGCGCCGCATATCACAATTCAGATGCCGGTTTATAAGGAGGGTATGGAGAGCGTTATTATCCCGACTGTGCGGAGTTTGCAGGCGGCTATTTCGTTTTATGAGAGTCATGGTGGTGAGTAGTCTCCTCCCGCGTCCCCAGCCCCGTTGAACTGCAGGTACTGAAACCGAAGCTAACTGCGTGTAATAAGGCTCCGCATCGATCTTTGTCAACGATGACGGCCTCCGTGTCGTCTCCGAAGAGGAAGCCCAGAAGCGCATCGAGTTTTACCACGATAACAATATCGGTTGGGTCGCCCGCCCCAAGCACGGCGACGACGGCTTCGTCCGCAAGGGCAAGTTCAAGAAGGCCTCCAACATGAACTTTGCCCTCAACATTTCCCAAAAGGTCGAGAAGTACCTCCAGGAAATGGTGGATGCCAAGTTTGCTGCCGAAGGTACCGACCTCATCGACCAGCAGGAGGAAGAGGAGATGTACGAGGCTGCGCTTGCAAGAGTCCTCGAGGAGAACCCGCTTGCTCAGGCGGCTGGTAACATCAGGATGGGCGAGTACATTTTGATTGTTGACTCTGACACCCGTGTGGTGAGTATTTCATCCTGGCTTTGCTTTTCTTTTGTGATTGAAACGTAGCTGACATTGAGCTTTTGCTACAGCCCGTCGACTGTCTCCTCTACGGCGCCGCCGAATTGTTCCTCTCCCCTGAAGTCGCCATCGTCCAACATTCCACCGGCGTGATGCAAGTCTCGTGGGATTACTTCGAGAACGGCATCACCTTCTTCACCAATCTCGTCTACACAGCCATTCGGTTTTCCATCGGATCAGGTGAAGTCGCTCCCTTTGTCGGCCACAACGCTTTCCTCCGCTGGCAAGGTACGTCGTTTTCTTTATTTCTTTCTTTTTCTTACCTCCAGTCAACCATACTAACTCTCTTGAAAAAGCCGTTCAAGACGTCGGCGTCCCCGAACCCAACGACTACACGGCCTACTGGTCCGAATCGCATGTGTCCGAAGACTTCGACATCGCTTTACGTCTCCAAATCAAGGGCTCCATTGTGCGCATCGCCTCCTACCACGGCACGCAATTCCAAGAGGGCGTGTCTTTGACGATCTATGACGAGATCGCCCGATGGCAAAAATACGCTTACGGCGTGTCGGAAATGATCTTCCACCCTTTCCACCGATGGATCTTCAAGGGCCCCTTCACCCCTCTTTTCTACACCTATTTGGGCAGCAACATCATGTACTCGTCCAAGATCTCCATCTTCGCTTACATGTGTTCGTACTTTGCCCTCGCCTCGGCCCTCATGCTCACGCTGCTCAACTACTTCCTCGTGGGCTGGTTCATCGACACCCTCGACCACGCGTACATGTCCTCCTGGGAAGTCTTCATTTCGCTGGTGGTCGTGTTCAACGTCATGGGCCACATTGCCCTGGCCGCCCTCCGCTACCGCACCGGCGACCGTGGCCTCCTTTCCAGTTTGTGCGAAAACTTCAAGTGGACGCCCATGATGACCATTTTCTTTGGCGGTCTATCCTTCCACGTCACTACCGCTCTACTAGCCCATCTTTTCCACATCGACATGCAGTGGGGCGCGACAAGCAAGGAAAAAGAAAACTCCAACTTCTTCCAGGAGATTCCCAAAATTCTCAAGACGTTCAAGTGGATGTACGTGTTTGTCATCCTGGTCGCGGCTGGCATGATCTACCTGGGCAATTGGGCGCCCAAGGGCTGGGAAATTAAGGATTTCTCAGCCATTGTGCCGTTGGCGATCAATTTGATTAGTCATGCTTTGACGCCGTTGGTGTTGAATCCCAGTTTGATGGTTTTCAACTATTAGTGTAAAGGTCTGTTGGTTGTCACAGAGAGAGAAGATGGTGGGAGCTGGTGGGAAGGTGTGGTCGGGACAAGAGAAATAAGAGGAGAGTATATTACTTGTGTGTGGATGTGCGTGTATCATGTGTTCGCCCATCGTCCTTTTTCTTTTTCTTTTCTCTCTTTCACCTTAACTTGTCTATATCGGAAGCAACAGAAAGGTTGCGGAGGGTGAACACAGGGAGGGCCGTTTAGATATTCTTTTGTGCTTATGCTTGTAGATTACTTACTGGGTCGGGTGGAGGAAAGGTTTCATATGTGTCAAGTCACACTTAGATCGTCTATACGAATTGGGATGGGAGTAATTGGATATAGTTAATGCCTTCAACCACACATATAATTTCATCAATGCCCACTCAGTTATCCGAATTCCACAACGCCTTTTCTGAATGAGTTGATTGCTTGACAGTGGGGAAGATTTACCATCCAGGCGGAGGATGGAACCCTTATTCTTTGACTGTGACATTCCATATCATACAGAATAAGTTCACAGACGAATATACTTTTACTGCCAGAACGACAATTGGTATTCAACCTCAAATCAAACAGAACCGAATCCCATACATGATCCTAAACCCAGACCCGTACCAAGAAAAAAATGATGACATAGAAAGAAAGAGCACGATACACTCAATCATCGTCATCATTGTTTCCACTCCTCCCCGCTCTCCTCTTGCCCTTACCGCCCTTCAACCCCATACCGCCCTTGAAGTGCTTCTTACCGCCCATCTCCATCTGCACCTCCTTGACATTGACGCCCTGCTCCGCCGCAATCAGCGCTCTCAGCTTGCGACCGCTCATGTGCTTCACCATGTTCTGCGCCTGACCCTGCTGCGAATACTTTTGGTGGAAAGCCTGCTGAATGTGGCCGCCGTTGCCGCCGGACTTGAAGAAGGCCTTGTCGAGCTTCTTGGACTTTTGGCCCTGCGGGAGCGCCAGCGCTGTCATCTCCGAGGTGAGCGTGGCGGTATCGTCAATGTCGGCACCCTCGAGCGCCGACAACATCGCCACACGGCGGTTCTCGGGCAGATGGGCCATATCGTAGAGCTCGGCGTTGAATTCGGGACCGTCGACGCCGCTGCCCGGAGGCGGCTCGCAGTAGAGGAGCTTGCCGTTGACGTAGTCCTTGAGGATATAACGGACCGCACGAGACTGGTCGGGCTGACCGAGACCTTGCGTCATGTAACCGCGGTGACGGGCATAGGCGTCGAGAAGCTCGTCGGCGGTGGGGATACCGGTACCGCCTTCCTCGAGCGGCCTGGTCTTGATCTTGATACCGTACACGGCCTCGAGGAAGGGTTGAGGGATACGGCGGGCGACGAGGGCGGCAGGGCCAGTGTACTCGCGCAGCTGATCAATGGGGAGGACACCGTTGCAGACGAGCTCGGCCTTGGTGTTGGCAAAGTTGGGGAAGACGAGACCGGGACAATCGCAAAGCAGGACGTTGTCGCTTAGGTGGATGGTCTGGAAATGCTTGGTCTTGCCGGGAGTGGAGGAGACGGACACCTTCTTAGCACCAATGAGCGCGTTGATGGTGGAGGATTTACCGACGTTGGGGTAACCAACGAGACCAACCTGGAGCTTGCGGTCTGTGGAGAGACACGGTTAGTGGTTGATTCGTTGCAGTTCTGTATGGACAAAGAGAAGCTTACCTTGACCCTCTGGTTGATATTGCAGAAGAATGTCCTCCAACTCATCGACTCGCAGGATGTGCGTGTCTGGGTCGTTTTGCTCGGTGATCTCCTCCTCCTTGGCCTCCTCCTTCTCCTCGGATGCCTTCTCCTCGGCCTTGGGGGTCTCCTCCTTCGTGGAAGGACCCTCGCCAACATCGCTCTCATCCTCAGAATCCTCATCACTGTCGGCATATCCACCCGCCTCAATCATCTCCTTGGCCAACTGAGCCGAGAAGAACCTGTAGTCGATACCTTCGCCCTTGAGGTAGTTCGCCCACATCTTCCTTTGCTTGTATGTCATCAGATCGGCCTTGTTGATCAGGAGAAGGTTGTGCTTCTTGGGATCGACGTCTTTCACGTAGACTTCCAAGTCTTCGGAACGGAACATGAGAGGGTTTCTGGCATCGACAATCTGGACAATCACATCGGACCGCTCGATGACTCTCCACAGTTGCCTCCACACCTCCAGGTTGCGCTCGAAAGGTGTCATCAACAGATCCTGGGTCTCCTGGAGTTCCGCCAACCCTCTGCGCCATTCGAGGAAGCTCTCACGCTCCCTCTGGTCGAGCTCATCGCGAGTGGTTGTGGAGTCCCATTGCGGCCTCCTGGGTACCGTAAGACGGCTCTTGTTCGCCCTCTGCTTTCCAAGCACTGCCTGCTCTTCCTTAGCGGAGAGGAGGTAAGGGTTGCGCTGGTCGGTGTGGATGATCTTGACGTTGTTCATCTTCTCGGCGGTGAAGTCGGTTCCGGCCAACTCGGCAGTGGCCAGGAACTCGTCGAGAGCGCCCTGCTCGGTGATGGAGCGCATCTTGACCCAGGCAGCATCCTGCTTGTCGTTCGTGATGTATTCCTTGCCGGTCGCATGGTCGATACGAGTGACTGCTGAGACGCGCTTCCGGTCGGATCCCTTTCCCTTGCCGAACCTATCGTTCATCAACGTGTTGCCGAGTCCGACCGACTTCTTGGACTTTGCGAGAACCATGTTGGCGGTTGTCTTGCTGGTCGCGGTACTTGGTGTGGTTTTCGTATAATGTGAATCCTCCTTCGACGCCCGTATATTTCAACGACGGCACTTTGCGACGACTGATCTTTGTCGAGTTGTCGCAATAAAATGAGCGAGTACTCTAGAGACAAAAACTGCCTCGAAAAAACAAAGGCAAAACAGGCAAGAGGTTGCGTGGGTGTTTCCAGCAATTCCCTTCGACTCGCTGTTTGCTAGTGTAAAAAGTGACCCTGGACTTCCTGCTGATAAATCTGCGATAACCTCGATATTTCCCCAGCGGACTGGAGATGGAGGGGCAAATTCTTACAATTCGGTAACGGGCGGGATACTGCGCGCTACGATAGGGCAGGGGCAGCACTCTGACCCGCTGATCGCTACTTACCCTGCAACCACACAGTACACTACACTTCTATAGAGGCAGGTACGTACTGTTAACAGCCCAGGAGTCCATTTCCCGCTTGAGCCGATAAGATAACCTTGATTGGCCCCACCAAAATTTTACCATCCATCGGTCATCCGCCTGTGGACATCCCGTCGTCTTCCACGCATTGCAGTCTTCCCGTCGTACCTAACTTGTCCGCAGACGCGAGGTGCTTCTGCTTTTCCAATTCGACGCACTCCCGTCACCTGATTCTATCGTCTTTCCCTAACCTCCCTGGACTTGGCCTGGAATCACTTTGTGAACCATTCATGCTTTGCGACCCGTCATTTTGCAGCATCGTGTCCATATAGCCAGAACAAGTCCTCCGTATCACAGTCAAGATGGCCAGGGGAAAGTGGATGTAAGTAGCCTACTACTGAACCAGAATCTCTCACGCTTGTCTCCTCGTGGCTGACTTGCCTTTCCTTGTTTAGTGATAAGAAGACGGCGACGCACTTCACGCTGGTCCATCGTCCGCAAAATGATCCCCTCATCCACGATGAGTCGGCGCCGTCCATGGTGCTGAACCCTACACAGCGCCCCAATGCCCACAAGTCGTCGACGCTTAGTGCCCTCGCCTCCGAACTCGGTTCCGATGCCATGAGCATCCGTGACAATGAGGGTGAGGCCGCCAACTATGGCGTCTACTTCGACGATACCGAGTACGATTACATGCAGCATTTGCGTGATCTGGGCACGGGAGCTGGAGAGGCCGTTTTCGTTGAGGCCAAACCGGTCGCAAACCAGAACAAGGGCAAGGGCAAGGCGACCCTCGAGGACGCCCTGAAGCAACTCAACCTCCAGAACAACGCCCAGGATCTGCTCGACGAGGAGATCCTCCCCAACAAGAACCTCCAGAGACTCACCTACCAAGCACAACAGGATGTTCCTGACGCCATTGCGGGGTTCCAGCCAGACATGGACCCTCGCCTACGCGAAGTACTGGAGGCTTTGGAGGACGAGGCTTATGTGGACAACGAGGAGGAAGACATTTTCCAGGAACTGGCCAAGGACGCAAAGGAGATCAACGAACACGAGTTCGAGGAGGCTTACGACGAGTTTGATGATGACGGCTGGGAGTCGGACCACACAGTGAAGGCTAGCAAGGAGTACAGGCACGATGGGGACGACGAAGTACCGGAGCTTGTCAACACAGGTGCTGGGCAAGAAGGAGAGGGTTCAGGGCCATCGGATGACTGGTATGATGCGTTCAAGCAGTACCAGCAAGACAAGAAGGCGGAAAAGAAGAATAAGGGCCCGGCAGCGCCATCAGAGATGCAGTCCTCGATATGGACAACGACAACAATGGGGGGACGCAAGAAGAAGAGAGCCGGTGCCATGACCAACCCCTCCATGTACTCGATGAGCTCCTCGGCGCTTGTACGGACGGACGCCTTGAGCATCCTCGATGCGCGGTTTGAGAAGCTGGAAGAGGAGTACAATGCTGACATGGACGACCTGGGTTCCGTCTCGGGTGTTTCTGCTGTCTCGACCGTTCAGGGCAACGTGAGGGCCGATTTTGACGGTATGTTGGATGAGTTCCTGGAGAACCATTCGACAGCCGGAAAGAAGAGGGTGAAGAAGGGCAAGTACCAGAGTGGCCTTGAGCAGCTGGACGAGATCAGGAGGGGGTTGGGACCTGCCAGAATCCGTCCTTCGTTTATCTAGAAAAGTGAGTGTGCTTGGGGCGTTAAGGGGTACGGAAAAGATACACGGGTGCATTGCGATTTGATAATTGAAATTATGAATGAACAAGACCCTGAGTGCCTCTGTGAACTGCGACCTATAAATACTCAACACACTCAACAATCACGTACCATATATGCACTGTGATACTCTCTTACCTTATCGATGACCTACCCCAGATTTATGTTTTGATGTGCCAGCAGCGAGGCCGGAAGCCTGAGACGAAAGAGGCTTAGCGTCTTGATTCAAGTGCGTGCCCATTCGACGGAGACGAGGAGCGGCTGGGCGGGAAAAGCGGGTCTGAGCTGGCGAAAAAAGTTCGAGACAACTTGACAAGAACATGGATCACTCTGCGAAACAGTCGTCTCTGCCACTGCCAACAGCCCTGTTAGCCTGAGCCTTGGCAAAAGATTGGCCCGTCATTGACAGACGGAAAAGGCAGAGAGCAACAGGCCATCGTGTCGCCTCACACGAACCTTGGCGCACTTTGTCGCCCTCCTCCCAACGAGAACGTCGCGTGCAGTTGCCAGTCTCGCCTTTCTTGTATGTATGTACTGGCGACAGACTTCAGTTTCCACTTTTGTGCCTGTTCACCAGGCTCCCGCCTTCACTTCACCATCAATCAATCAATCAATCAATCCACTGCAACAGGAATAACAACAACAGTACCTCGTGTAGTTCATTCACCTCAATCGTACCTATTGAAGATCACCGATTTTTCTTTTTTTGATTGGCAAACAGTGTCCCTGCAGCACACGCAAACAAGGGAAGCTGAGAGGACCATTGATTTATGCGACATCAATTTTAAAAGGGAACCGTGCATTCCCTGGCCGTTCCAGCCTTTCCCATCGATCCACGCCCTCCCCTTCCTGCCTGTCCGTTCTCCATTGAACTTTTTTTCGTCCCGCCCGCGGCCACAGCACAGCACACGTCCACTTTCAACCTGGTGGTTCCGCTTGCTTCTACACCACAACTGAATTCCCCGTTTGCCTTTTGCGCCTCGACCACTTTTGCACCTTCGACCAACTTCCTTGGATCGCATTACCCATATACCCCCCCAAGGATTTTCCCCAAATCCTCAACTTCCCCAATCCTTCGCATCGACAACTTCTCTACACATCCCCCAATCAATCATCGAAAATGGCCACCACTGCGATGGACTACGAAAACGCCAACGGCGATCGCTTCGATGGTATGTCCACGTCCTCAACTGCGTCATCGCCTTTCTCTACCCTGCCTGGCCTTTGCGTCAGCATTTAGCACCCGCGCCAGCACCAGACGCGGATGCAGATGAGCGATGATGGCCTTCGCGACTTCAGCCTCAGCCTGTCCTCGTTTGCATCATCATCATCATCACCACACCTCTCGCGTCGCGACACACTCATCTCTCTGTCCATCTACGACTTGCCTAGCTCAATATTCCATCAGCAACTGACCGGTTCATCTAGAGGACGCCCCTCGCTACGACCGCGACCGTAGTGCGTCGCCGCGTCGCGATGATGGCCACGACTCTTCGCGTCGTCGCTCCATGTCTCCCAACGGCAACGACCGGTAAGCACCGCCACCAGCTCGCCTGATGCGGTCCAAACATCCAAAAACAATATCATCTGACATCAACACCAGTGCTCCTGCCAAGGACGAGGGTCAGTCCAAGGGAGGTGAGGAGGATGGTGCTCGCAACCCTGGCTCCAACCTTTTTGTCACCGGCATTCACCCCAGACTGGAGGAGGCCGAGGTTACGCGCCTCTTCGAGAAGTACGGCGAGGTTGAGAAGTGCCAGATCATGAAGGACCCCCACACCGGCGAGTCTCGTGGTTTCGGTTTCGTCAAGATGATGACTCCTGAGCAGGCCAGTGCTGCCAAGGAGGGCCTGCAGGGCGAGGTTATTGAGGGCAGAACTCTCAGCATCGAGATGGCTCGTCGCGCTCGTCCCCGTACCCCTACTCCTGGCAAGTACTTCGGTCCTCCCAAGAGAGGTAAGTTGTCCCGCGTCTCCCCCCCGAAAAGTCTCGAACTGATTCACTGAAACACAGGCGAAGGCCGCTTTGATGACCGCAACGGTCGTCGCGGTGGCGGTTTTGGCGGCGGCTATGGCGGTGGTCGTGATGACTCTTACCGTGGCTACCGTGGCGGTGGTTACCGTGATGACCGTGGCTACGACCGTGGCTACGACAGAGGCTATGACCGCAGCGGCGGTTATGGCGGCGGCGACCGTGGCTATGAGCGCAACAGCTACCGTGAGGACCGTGGCTACGACCGCAGCTACCGTGGTGAGGACCGCGGCTATGATCGTCGTGAGCGTGGTGGCGCTGATGAGGCCTATGGCCGCGGTGGCGACCGTTACCGTGATGATCGTGGCGGCGAGCGCTATGGTGGCAGCGGCCGCGGTGGTCCTGATGAGCGCCGTGCTCCCGGTTACGACCGTGATCGCGGCTACGATCGTCCCAGCGACCGTGATGCCCGTCCTCCTCGCGACGCTGCCCCCGGCACCAGCAGCTACGGCGAGCCGGCTCCTCGTGAGGCTCGCGAGCCCTACGGTACATATTCGAACATCTGAATCTTGCTTGTGGTGAATGCCTGCTGACTTGAACAGGTACCCGCTAGGATCACGGTATCTAGGTTCCACAATCTGATTAACACCAGGAGGCTCTGTCCTTCCAGCTTCATCGGCAGCACAGTTTTCCTTTAGCTTGTTTCTTTCTTTTCGCTCTTGGCATGGAAACAAAATCGGATATCCTAAAATTCGTCGGCTGGAGTTACGGCAGATATTTGGAGGGTAATTGGCCCTGTCCCGGCGGTTCGCCTTGCACCAGAACGGCTACCTAGATGAGCCACTTTGGAGGTTGCGACACTCGACAGACTTCACATGGTATGGGCAACATGGTCGGTCAGCCGTTGGTCGACATTGTCTAGGCCGTCACCCCTTCTTCCTCTTTCTACCTATTTGGATCAGAAAACGAAGGGGATGAAAGCCGCGCTTGTACGATTATTTTTCTTTCGCCTTCTTACGGCCAGCGGCAATATCGTGACGACTTGACGCATCCTATCTCGACGGGTTTCTTTTACGTAGTCGGCAAGCATGATACCAGCGCATCAACCTTTTTCAGCATCTTAATCGTGAACGCCAATGCCTGAGACATCAGTGGCAAACATTCTTAACAAAAGGTGCAACCCCACCGGAGCAAATCAAAATTCGGCATGTAATCGTCCTCAGCCTCGCCGAGCTCCACCTCTCGCCTTGAACGTCTGCACTCGCCATTGTTACAGCATGCGACTTGACACCATGTTTGATCCGCTCGCGATAATCACCATCATGGCCCTTTGACATCAAAGCACCGCAGCATGGCAACCTGCTGGTGACGCCGATTAAGTCCTTGTTGGACGTGGCATTTCTTCAAGGACGAGGCTTCTCGTCCGATGTGTTGTCAGTCAAGCCAAACACCCGTCCAAACGCTTTCAGGTACGTTTCCGGTCGCGATGCGGCCCTTCTGCGTCTTTTGGCTTCTAGCAACTGTCCTCCATATCCCCCATCACTTTGTTACATTTACTTTGCTTTGCTGGGTACTGCTGGAGCTCCGATGATTACAGGGAAAAGGCCGATGGCAAGGCATGCGTCACTCCTGTCGCTGCGAATCGTTGAGTTGCTTTTTTGAAGAAGAAGACATCGGTTACTTGCAACAGACACGTAGGCAACAGCAAAGGACCATCACAGAATCCATTCATCCAAGCCTATGGCCGTAGAAAGACGAGCGGTTTGGCAAACGTCTGGTAGTTTCCAAGACCCGGGAGACAGCATCAGCGACTATGCAACATGCGAGTTACGAAACATCGCGCTTGACCAAGCATTGGCAACTGATGGCTACACTTTTTTTCCATAGCCGCTCTCTTTTTTTTTTTTTTTTTTTTTTTTTTTTTTTTTTTTTTTTTTTTTTTTGCAAGTTTACATGAGTTAACGCTCCCCTGCTCTCTCCTTATCATTCTTCGGGATACCACATTGGTATCTTCCGATTTCTTTATCTTCGTCGTATGCCTTTGGCTCGACCTGGTAGCCAAGCGAATTCCTCATAAATGGTGGTAATCGCAGTCTATACTTGGTATCACTTAAAAGATCTTTGCCTCCGGTCACGGATAATCGAGGAAGTAAAAATACACTATGGAAAATTATCCTTCATGTTGATTCCCTGCTGCAAAAGCACATCCGAGTCTGCCTTTCATACGTAACGTCTCTTTCAAAAACCCATCTCAGACAAAGGGGAAGCGCCAACAAGAGCATCAGAAAGCCCGGCCAAAACCTTTCTCTACCACCCGTGCGTTAACAAAGACATGAAGTCCGTGCTAAAAGCATCGCAAGTTCCCAATGCTTTGTGCGTGCGAGCTTTGGGGGGCTCAATAAAAACGCAACTGATTCCCCAGGTTTCAGTCACTCTTGTCTTGGTCCTCAGTGAATGCTGCCTCCAATCTCCCCGGACAGATCCAACCAATCCAATCAATAATCTTGTGTGTTTTTCATCCCTCCTTGTCTCGCGCGCTAGCCGAGACTCATCATCCCTTGCGACACTACTACACTGGCACACTACCATCATCACTACACCATCTTGCCCCCCATCCGTCTATTCCCTTCAAAACTTCCGTCTCAAAAATGCCCCGCGTAACCAGAAGCTCCGCCAAAAACGGCCCCGGCGGGCTATTTGACTTTATCGGCGTCGCCATAGCCAATGGAAACGTCAAGTACGATATCCCCGAACAGTACCAACATCTCTTGCCGTCGAACCTCCACCAACAAGAAGCCAACAACGCTGAACCCCTTTTCATTCACTCAAGTGCAAAGGGAACATATGTAGAAAAGGGCAAGAACAGGAAAACCGCTGCCATTGCTGAAAGAGCTGAAAAGGTCACTGCTGTCGCCTCTGCCCATGCTACCAAGGTCATCGCAGCCAAGCAGGGCAAGGGCGGCTTGGATATCAATATTGTTTTGCCTGTTGGGGGTGGGGGTGTAGGTGTGGGTGTTAGTGTTGGTAAGGGAGGGAAGGGGAAGAGGAAGGTGCTTGAGGCTGGCAAGAAGGACGGTAATAAGAAGAGGAAGTTGGAGAGGATCGAGGAGGTCGATGATGAGCTAGTAGAAGACAGTGAGAAGGAGGAGGAGGAGGGGGAGGAGGAGAAAAAGAAGACCGGGGAAGAAGATGACGATGATGACAAGGAGTATGTACCTGATGGCAAACCTCCGGCGAAGAAGAAGCAGAAGAGGATTGTGAAGGATACTCGGAAGAAAAAGCAGCAAAAGGTGGTTAAGGCTGCTGCTCCGAAGAGAGGGGGTAGAAAGAAGAAGGTTGAGGCTAAGGCTGAGGCTGGGGATGAGGTTGAGGCTGCAGTTTTTGAGAAGAAGGAAGTGGAGGAGGAAGAGAAAGAGAAGGGAGGGGAGAAGGAGGTTAAAGAAACTGTCGAGCTTGAGGTGGCTGTGGTGGCTGTTGTGGAGGGTAACCAGGGTGAGGAAGAGGAGAAGAGAGAGGAGGGGGAGAAGGGAGAGGACGGTGGAGGTGAAGATGAGGATTATGAGCAACAGGATCGCAATCCCGATGCTGAGCCTGAAGAGTGAGTGATGAGGAGTGACTTGGTGTCTCTTGTTCAGAGTTAAGGGTGCTTCGTTATAGTATAGGGAGGCTGGTCCTCGAATTCAAGTATATTGGTTTGTGGTTTCGCTATAGGCTCGTTGACTGTCCTGCTCACGGGTGATGTGAAAGGTTGTCTGTTTGTCGTCTTAGTTGTCGTTTCCCGTCTCGTCCGTCAGCTTTTTCTATGACATGAGCTTGTGTCCTGTCATTGGGCACATCTGCATAACCAGTTTCTTTTCTTCTTCTTCTTCTTCTTCTTCTTCTTCTTCTTCTTCTTCTTCTTCTTCTTCTTCTTCTTCTTCTTCTTCTTCTTCTTCTTCTTCTCTTTTTTTTTCCTTTTTCTTTTTTTTTTTTCTTTTTTTTTTTTTTCTTTTGGTCACTCTCATTGGATTCTCTCAACGGGGCACCGGGGCTATAGTTTCTTGCCATCAATTGACCATCAGATCAGTTTTTGTCATGCTACTGATGAAAATCATAACATCGGCAACCAATAACAACCAACAAGAACCCACGACATCCAGCCACTTCTTGACAATCGTTAACCTGTGATGCCCGAGATAATCTGATAAACTATAGTCGACCCTCGATGTAAGGCCATTCCTCGAACTTCTCGCTTTCTTTTTAGGTAAAATATGGATATTAACTCGTCAACTCGCCTTCAGGCAGAAACCCATTGCAGGATTGACATTCGTTGCAAATTGGGTTCAGTAAATACTGCATCTTAGTACGTAGTGGATAAGGAGATCACGGTTTTCCAGGTGCTGATAGCCCGCAGTATGAGTGACTCCTCCACCACCACCACCTTCCCCTTCATGCAGTTGGCGATATATGATGAATCACAACACCCTTTCAAGAGACGGTTGAAGAGATGTACATGATGCGAATGTTGACCGCTTTGGGTCATTACTAAAAGAGGTAGGTGTGTTTTGAGGTACCAGGTAGGGCTATCGTGTCAGATCCATGACCTATCTAGATGACGTGTTCTTGATTCTCTTGGGGAAGGGTACATGTACAACTCTACGGATTATTATAATATATATGCAGACTATGTACAACTTCGAATACGGAAGTTGTCGATTTTCAAGTAATGGCAGGTTGGATGGTAGAAACGATGTTGGGTTGTTTTGAGGCTGTATTGTAGGTTGTCTTCTTTGAGGTACGAGAGGCCATCATGATGTGAGACTGTATGAAATGTCCCTGTTCCTCTTCAAAATCGTTCAAGCGGCTGGCAAACAAACCCAGCAACCGAAAGACAGTTGAATGCACTTTTTCAAGGGTGTTGAAGACGCCAATCGGATACTTCTATTATGTCGTTGTGACGGATCATTGTTTTTATCATGGTTATCGGACCCCGAAATTCGAGATCGAGATAAGCGAAGAACAAGACAAAACAAAACAAAACAAAACAAGACAAGACAAAACCAAAAAGAAAAATGGAAAAAGAAAAAGAAAAAAAAAAGGGGGGGAGGGGGGGTTCGTAAGCTTTGTAAGTCATTCGCCGACTCGGCACCGATAAGCCTCTGTTAAGTACACTACTAACTAGTGTAGGTACACACGGGCTACGGGCCAGAGATACACCAGGGCCGAGCCGTTCGAAAACATCATCACACTCTTGACAGGCTACACCAAGTAGCGTCGGCCGCCGTCGTTAGTTCCCCTGATGCGGCTGTTGTCGGTCTACAACTTCTGTTTGCTTTGTTAAATTCTTCGACTTGTACTTCTCAACATGTTACAAAGTCAAATGTGGTCAGGCTATCCAAGCCGCGCTGTTGACATGTGGAGGTATGCACTGCGGTAGAAAACGGCAACATGTGCATATGTGAAAAGTGCAGGTGACAGACAGTTGAGCAATCGTGGCAGGCAAGGAGATCAGGATCTTCGCATGCGTCATAAGTAGGTAGATGCACGCTGTGCATGACGGGTGCTCGAGCCAGATTTCGATGGGAGTCTTGAGAGTTGTTGGAATTGGGATTGCGAAATGTACTAGCGATTCATGAACAGATGTGATGTTGCCAGTCACTTTGGGGTTTGACTGATGATAGGTAGAGGTACTTTTTCATTTACACTACAACGACTGGAAAAGATATAAGCTTATCTTGCTACCCGTGCAACACGGCGATCACGGCTCCGAGTGACAAACGTAACGTGCAGTTCATGACCGCCTCACTGCAGTGATGCCTGGAGCTGGGGCATCATCACTCCACATCATAAGCGAGCTTCGCATCGGCATCCGGAGCGGTGCCGATTCTCGTCTGTTCAAACAAAGGATTTTTATAGAGTCCGGGGAGCTGTTGCGCTAGTGATACCGCTTCTTTCTTCAAGTATCTGAATGACTCGACGGGCTGGTGGTGTATTTGTTAATCAAAGCGGTGTCAGCTCGCTAAATGGTGAAGCACAGTCACTTGAAGCCCTTGATAAAACAAAGACGGTTGCGGTTGCAGGTAGCCTACGTATGTACATCTCTTCCTGCCGTGCAGACTGTCGTGTTGTGAGCCGTTTTATCCGGATTTACGAGGAACAGTTGGTCCTCGACCTCTAGTGTAGATCCATTCGGGAAGCTAATAAGACTTCGGCGTTAAGGAGACCGCGATAGAAATGCAAGTGTCAAAACACAAAGCTGTCAAAGTTCGGTGTAGTCACACCCGCATAATCAAGGAGGCAGTGGGAGGCTAGTACCTAGCCTAAAGTGACTAATTGGGCAGGTCGATAGGGTCGATGTGTGATACATACTGGGGAAAAGACAGATGTGTCACCCAAGTGAAATAAAGTCAAGATCAGGCGGGGTGCTGAGACAACCCCTAATATGTATGTACATATATATGTACGAGGTATGTAGGGCTGGCCAAGGACGGTCAGGGCAACTGCAACTGCTTCTGTGGTGCTTCTAGTGTACATGTACGCGTACACTACTGTAGCGCAAAGATATCAACGTGGACAACCGTGGACTTTTGATGCAGCGCCAAGCACGGCAACGGGGTGGACGAGGGGCGTTGCCTGCATCGGCAAGTCGGGGCCGGTCACCTGCTGATTAAACAAGAGACGAAAACGGTTTGGAGGCGTCATCGGCAGCGGGGCGTCTTCGACCCCGAACCCCGACTCCCTCTCGTGTTTTCTTGTATGTAGTGTACATAACTCGGATGTTGAAGCCGCGGTCCTGGGGATCGGTGACGGCGGTGGGGAACTGACTTCTCAAGCATTTTTCCTCAAGTCCACTTTTCGAAGAAAAGAAGGATGGAGAGAACTGAAGGCGATGGACCAAGTGGGCATTCTCGGCGTTCCATCACAAAAAGGAACAAAAAGATACGGCGAAATGTACACAACACGGAAGGAAGGCGCCAACACGCACCGAGCATCAGATCCGCTTTCTGAGTGTTGATTCGAAGTGGAAGTGGTACCTATCCCTCCACCTCATTTTTCACTGTTCCATTCCCGCCCTTTTGCTCTTTCCCTTTTGATTTGGCCTCTTATCTCTTTGCGTAATATTTCAAGTTGTGTCATCCTTCTTCGAGTGTGGGAGCCTTATTTTCTGCTTTTCTCCCTTTTTCTTCCCACTACTCTTCCATCCCAAGGTTGACCCCAAGGTTTGGCATCCAACTGAACGGAAGTCAACTAGACTTATACACCATAGGTCGGGAGATCGCATTTACAGCTTGATCCTCGCCCCAAACCTGGCTTCCTCCCTCACAAGCCAGCACCCTTCACCTTATTTTTTAATATACTCCAAGCCCAACCATTCACTTTCTTCAGTAGATGTGTTGCTCCACCTCGTTTGCTTATTATTATATCGCATCTACTGCAATCTGAACGGCACAAGACCTTCAACTCAGTCAAGCAACGGCACCTCTGACCCCAACCTAGCGTCCGTGTCCTGCTGTCTTGCCTGCGGCCTGCGACCTGCCAACCGCCTGGGGCAACCATCACCCCTTTGCGCATAATGACAACAACCAACGAATAATATTTTATTCTTTTTGTATAGCTGTCCCAAAATCACGACAGACTACGTTATTTAACAGGTACAAGACCATCGCCTTTCAGCGAGGCTTCTCTATAAGCCCGGCTGCCAAGACGGCGCTCTCTCTACAACATCAACATGGCCGAATTCCCAGACGGAAAAGAAAAGGAGATCAGCCTCCCGAACCCCGTAGCCGACCAGAGACATCGAGACGATGAGATCGAGGAAGCACACAGGAGCGATGAAGACGTCGAAAAAATTGCCATAGGCTCGTCGGTTGTGGAGGAGAACGATGAGAAGAGGGCCGAGCTGAACCGGATGAGGACCAATGCCACCAACACCAGCGTGACCACGGCCGCTACCATCCACCCTCATGTCAAACCAAAGCCATGGTACAAACAGCCAAACCCACTAAGATGGGGGAAAATCGAACCAATCCCCGAGACGAGGAGGCCATCGCCAGAGTACAATGCCGGTTTCTTCAGATCGCTCTTCTTTAGTTGGATGGGTCCTTTGATGACGGTAAGTGAACCAGCACTCGAGAGGGTTATCTACACGCTGAAAACAAATAACTAACACACCTCTAGACGGGATACAAACGACAGCTGGAGCTCAACGACATCTACCAAGTCAACCCAGCCCGTTCTGTGGACCCCCTTACAGAAAGGATGCGAGAGTCCTATAAGCGGCGGGTGGAGAAGGGGGACAAGTATCCGTTGCTTTGGGCGATGCATGAAACCTTTTTCTGGGAATTTTGGATTGGTGGCATGTGTCAGCTTGCGGCCTCTATCCTTCAAGTCATGTCGCCCTTTACTCTTCGTTACCTCATCCAGTTTGCGACGAACGCCTGGGTTGCCACCCACTCTGGCGCACCACCGCCGGGTATCGGTTCCGGCCTGGGATTGGTCTTCGGTATCACGGCCATGCAAATCTTGCAGAGCTTGTGCATTAACCACTTCATCTACCGTGGTATGCTTATCGGAGGTATGGCTAGGGCCTCTCTAATCAGCTTAATCTACGAAAAGTCCATGGTCATCTCAGGTCGCGCCAAAGCGGGTGGCGCTGATGCGTCAGATGTTCCCGCTGCAAAGGCGGCTGCTGAGAAGGACGCAAAGAAGAAGAGCAAGAAGAAGGG